CATAAGGTGTTTTATGAAGGAAAAATCTTTGTACGGTGTTTGACTAAACAGCTTTAAACATAGACCGATCAATATGAAAAACCTCGAAAACAAAATCGATAAAACAAAGCAATCAAGGGCTTATAAAGCTTAGCTTTATCTGGTAAGCTATCTTTCCTTTAACTTTTTTAAATGAAAAAACAAAAAGTTTGTTTTTCTGTTGGGGTCTTAAAAAAATATTTTTCTTTTTAATTTGGTGGATCTTACTTTGAGCAAGCGTCTTTCGCAAATGCATAGGATAGGATGTAATTAGCGCATTTTCAAACGGGAAGACGAAGTTGTATCGTTGTAGAAAGTTGGCAGTTAATAAAAATTAGACTTTATACCATTTGCTTCATTAATAAATGGAGACGAAAGTTAAATGTTTATTTAACAATTAGTTCATGCGTCAGCGTGCGTATGTCAAGATATCACTGAGGTATACGGGAAGTTTGGGGCGTCAGAGTTGCTCTAGTCGCAAATGGAAAGGCAACTATTGTATACAGAATTGACGAATTACACCGTCTACACCAATATCAAATAGAGGCAAAATTCAGTGAAAGTTAGCTTAGGGAGAAAGTGGAACTTAGCTCAGGGAATAAGTAATTTTTCAGACGTTTTTAGTAAAGTTACTACGAACAGGTGTGCCACCATTAATGTTAATGGTCACGCCGATCATAAATATATATTAATAGCCTTTTCTTGAAATGAATATTCATCAATAGGTCCGTTAATTTGGCGTTGACGCAAATGCAAAAGTTTTGATATTGACATGTGGCACTAGTGTGGAAGTCTCTAATGTCTCATTCGGTTTATTCATATTTTCATATTTTATTCGGNACGCAAATGCAAAAGTTTTGATATTGACATGTGGCACTAGTGTGGAAGTCTCTAATGTCTCATTCGGTTTATTCATATTTTCATATTTTATTCGGAAAGAATCGGTCATTGATATTTTATAGGCGTTTTTAATAAAACAATCATTCCACTCCCGCGTCCTGGATATGGGATATTAATATATTGGCCAACGAGGCATCACTACAGGCAAGTGTCCAACGCGGGCTCTAGTGGAATAATCGTTGATTATTGTGTACTCAACTCAATGCAACATCAAATGGATCTATGATGATAGCATGATTATTGCCACTTCCTTCTGGTCAGGAATAATATTTGCATTTTCTTTATTTTAAGTGCCATCTGAGAGAACTTGAAGGGGCTACGTCATGAGGATATTGCTGTTCTAAGTCAATTTCTTTGCTTAACTATAAGCAAATAACAGGACATAAACCCCGGCTCTAAAACCAATACTGAGGGGCTAGGCAATGGGAGCCCTCAGGTAGAACAATCGTGAAGCGAAGTAGTTGAAAATGAATAAAACGAGACCGAGAATGTTTACCATTGTATAAAAACCATGGAGGAATATATTCAACATTTTGATACGGATCTAGCTATTTAATTTAGATTGACAATTAGATTGAACTTTAGCTTTAGTTACATAATAATTGGTAGAATATAATGGACAAAGAACGCCAGAAGTTGTTTTCAAGCGAAAACACCTGCCGAAGAACCAGCAAGCACGAACACAACAGCAAATGGATCATTCATTGACAAAAAGTTTCTCGAGCTGCCCCAGTCTGATAAATCCAGAAGCTCTAAAAGTTGGAGAAACAGTTGCCTATTGTTTAATTCTTGTAGTCTCGCTGGTTGGAAATTTTCTGGTGGTATTAATTGTTTACAAAACACTAACTTTGAGAAAACCGATAAATATGTTGATCGCAAACATGGCCATGTCCGACCTGCTCTTTCCAATATTCCAGATCCCTGTTCGACTGACAGGGCTGCACGTTGGCTCGTGGCTTATTGGTGGTACCCTTGGTAAGGCCTTGTGCAAGATACACCCTTTTCTTGCTGATATTTCCTTGTTAGTGTCGATTCAGAGCCTGGTTCTGATAACAGTGGATCGATATGCAGCTGTTGTAGTTCCACTCCGTTCACCCCTCATCAGTCGCAAGGTATGTCGCTGTTTGATTGTTGGTACATGGATACTCGCAGCAGCCTTTTATTCGCCATATTTGTTTTCCTTCATTCTTGTTGAATACCAAGAAGAAAATTTGTGCGTGAATCAGTGGGAGGTGGCCTTCGGAGAGAAAAGCTCACCTGGTATTTACATCCTATTAGCTATTATCTTTTTGTATTACATTCCTTTTGTCGTCTTGGCGATACTTTACTCCATCATCCTGATCAAGCTTAAAAAGCAAGCCCATCCAGGTGAACAGTCAGCCAGCGCTGAAGAACAGAGGACAAGAAGAAACAGAAAAGTGCTTAAGATGACCGTTGCTATCGTTGTAGCGTTTTTCATTTGCTGGATACCCTTATCCATTAACGCAATGATATTTTACTTAGTACCAAGAAAGACTTTAGATGTTTGTAAGTTTTGGGTATCTCTTAATGTCGCCTTGTTTATGGCTTACATAAACTGTGCTATCAACCCGATTATCTGCCTTACCTTTACCAGTAACTATCGCCAAGCTCTTAGGAGACTTGTGAATTGCTGTGATGCAGTGCAAGGTTAAGTAAAATCTAGGTCTGATTTCAAGGTTAAGTGAAATCTAGGTCTGATCGAAGTGATTCTTGAAAAAATCGACCTGTAATACCGAAAATTAATGCAGCATTTAATTTCTCTTGTGACGGCTGTAATACCCAGGAGAAATAGAGTTGGTGGGTGGGTGGGGGGTAAGGTACATTAGGGAGATGTGCAAGTGGCGAATAAGAGATTTACCGAGCGCCGGTAAACTGTTTGAAATTCGGGTTACCCAGAACTCGAAACCGAGTATGAAATTCAGTAGCTAGCTTTCTCGCTTCTATTTTTGAGGAAAAATATTAAGAGTGTTTTTTTTCCCTCTGTTTCAGCGGTAGCTTTTTCTGTGGAATGCTTTATTTTCCAATATCGTTAATATGCTGTGTCTATTGTTACTGTATGGCGAAGCGATCCGCCACTTGTTTTTGTTGTTGTTGTTATTGCGAAAACGGCGTAAGGAAATGGCGCCAGTATTTCATTTTACTTGAAAACATTCTGCTCCCTAGAGCAGTATTTGGAATATATCTTACTTTTTTCAGAACTGGAATAGCAGGTCAGTATAACGGTGGATTCTCGGGATTATTCTATGTATTCCTACTGAGATCAAGCCAAGTTAGAATTACTGTTGGTTCTAATGAGAATTAGAAACGTGTAAAAAAGAGCAGTATAGAGACGTGCCATCGTAAACGTTAATAGTTGGATCATACTTATCTGCTTTTGTATAAATGGTTATTTTATGTTGTACATACAACCTTAACAAGCTTAGATGTATATATATAGCTATTCCGCCGCGAAATTACTTCAGGTTGCTTAGACCGGCCTTAATCACTTTGATTGCTATTAGGACTTTCTGACTGCATTTTGTTTTTGAGCTCAACGATTTAGTGAACAAAATTTCTATCATTAATTTTGTAGTTGACATTGCTTTGCTCTACTGAGTAATTACGACTTGTCATTTGTGAGCGTATGTTTTATTCCGGCAAATTTGACCTCTTTGATCAAAGTATTATATTCGTCTTCTCTCTTGCATTTGTTATTTTCCATTCTAGGACGCCATTTTACTCATCAGAATGTATTCAATCGATTGCATAAATGTACGCTCAATAAAGATGAAACCGAATTTCTTTGTCAATATGGTCTATCAAATGTGATATTTTAACTCTTTTACAATATCTAAATCTACTGACCATTTAAGGTTAAATTAACATTTTCTTGTAACCTATTCTTTTTACCTATATTAACAAGAAGTATCTAAAAACATAGGTTCTCTGAGATGCATCCCGGGTAGTTTTTTAAATAGTTGAATTAACTACTTTGAAATGGTCTCTAACTAAACGAAGTGCGTTATTTTAACCAAAAATGTTGGTCATTCTTACTTAAAAGAAACTGGTTATAATTTAATTCACGGGACGAAAAAACGGATTTACCGAACGTCAAAGGTGAAGTCAAACGGGCGATAAAGGCCACCTTTGCACACCTTTGTACAACTTTGACGCGCGACAAATGTTTACCTTTGCCCGCGGTCAAAGACGAGTCTTCAGGCGATAAAGGCCGTTTTTGTCACGCCTTTAACCCCTACCTTTGACGCGCGTCAAAGGTATATTTCATGAGCATTTGTACCCCTACCAAATGCGTCCTCAAATATGTCTGAGATTCAGGCCAAAGGTGTGACAAAAGCGCGGCAAAGTTATGTCTGTGATTAAAGTCAAAGGCTTGTGAAAAGTGTCGTCAAATGTGTCTGAGCCTCAGGTCAAATGTGTGACAAAGTTGTCGTCAAATGCGTGTAAGATTTAAGTCAAAGGTTTAACAAAGGTGTTGCCAAATATGTTTGGTTTTTTCCTCCCCTCGCATCGCGCCTCTCGCTCGTCTCGCGCTTCGCGTGAATTCCGCGTTATTGCCTCGCTAGTCATAAGCGCTTGATATACAGGCTAGAATCCAACTTGAGATTTCAATCAAATTCAATTGCGACCTGGATACCGTTTAAAAAGGTGGACAGATAAGAGACTGAGTTCTTAATCTTGTACTTTATTGTCCTAAAACCTCATTAGATGATTAGAAAGCTGAATAGTGTCGATTAAAACTTAAACGCATAAAAATGATTTTTAAAAACCCTTTCACGATTTATTGTCTAAAGTACTCATTGCAGTCTGTCAATGGACAATCAAAATGACTGCCGCAAATTTTTGAAGCACTATAAATGTTCCAGATACACGCTGTTGTCACGGACGGCAGCCTGCAAAATAGTTAAAACACATCTTTCACGCAAGCCAGTGCACAAATCATGGTAAGTAAGAAATGTTCTTGATGAGGAGCCCATCTGTCTTGATGTTATCTTTGCGAAGATTTTCATTCTAGAGTGCTTTTGATTCTTGATGTTAGTGAAAGACAAACGCCATGTATCTAA